TGTCTCGGTGCCGACTCACCCGCCGCTTCCGCGGCTCCGAGCGCGGGGTCGGCCCGCCCGGAGCTCTCACCCGGCGAAACGGGCCTTAGGGGGCTGTAGGAGCCGGAGCTCCCGTAGGACAGGGCAGCCCTGGAGCCTGTCTGCCAGCTGTCCAGTCTGCAGAGCTGCCAGCTCAGTGGTTTCCTCGCACCCGCGCAGGCCTTGTCACCAGGGCCTTTCCCCTCGGCGCGAACATGATCAGCGTTGGTGTGGGGACCAGGACGGCCATCTCACACACATCCCGCTCAGCCTCCAGGTCAGTGCTGGCACCTGGAGCGGCAGCACCGGGGCTCTGCCCTGCCTCAGCACTGTCCTTCCTCCCCAGGCCAGACGTGGAGCGAGACGAGGCTGTCCTGCGAAGGAGGCAGAAGCAGATTGACTATGGCAAGAACACTGTGGGCTACCAGCACTTCCTTCAGCAAGTCCCCAAGTGAGGCGGTGCTGGGCTACAGAATTACCCGCAGTCCTGGTTCTGGTCAACTGTAAATATTCGTGGGGCAAAGCGCCTGCAATGCCCGTTTCACAGCCCTCTCCCTTTGAATGCAATAAGAATAACTCCATGACCTTTTCTTATTTCTGCTGAGGGTGTATCCTCGTGTTTCATCAGTCTCCTGCCAGAAGCTGGATGTCTTCTGCATGGCATTCTGGCAGTTGTGGGGAATGGGGAGATTTGCTGCCAGATAAGAGGGTTTCAGTAAGGTTCATTACTGCTAATGATACTGTACTTTGCTCTTAGGGCTGCTCGGCAGCCAGGCGTTCACCCTCAAACTCCAAACAAGTACAAGAAATACAGCCGCCGCTCCTGGGACATGCAGATCAAGCTGTGGAGACGAGCTCTGCATGCCTGGGATCCTCCTGACAGGTGTCCTGCTCAAGATGCACCAGGACTTGTGGAAGACACTTCTGTCTGTTGCCCTAGGTGTCTATTCAGTTGTATACAAGAAAGATCCTCTTTGAAGGAAGGAAAAAGGGGGAAATCTACTCATGCTAATCTTAGATGTGTTCACACCTGTGGGTTCTCCTCTGTTTGTTGGTGTTTTTCACGCTTGGGCAGCTCAAGCTTATTAAATGGCATTGGCTCAGTGTGCATAGCAGGCATCCTGTGAGATTTTGCACTCTGAAGCATGTGGGGTCTCCTTAGAGGAGTGACCAGAGGCTCTCAATGCCTGCCACTTCTTGTGGCTGTTCAGCACCTACCGCTGCAGTCCTTCCAGCTCCTCTCTGTGGACTGAAGAATTAGGTGCTGCCACCTGTGCTTGCTGTCACCCAGCTTTGTTCCATCATTGCTGACAACCCCTGGGACGTACAAATCCAGGCTGTGGGCTTGGGTCTGTTACTGTAGTGCTCATGGTGCAGGCATTCTTCTGTAGCTTAGAGGGAGGGGACCTGACCACTTAACCCATTTCAGAGAAACAGCCCTGGCTTTTGGCGTGTTTAATGCATCGGGCAACTCGACGGTGTTTCCTTCCTGGCCTGGTGAAGATGGCTGTTGGCCTGCACGGCAGGGGCTGGGGGCTGCAGCGGTGTGCTCCTGTCACCTGCAGCCTGAAGAAACCCTGTCCAGAGGTGCAGCGGAGGGGCAGGTACGTGCAAGCACTGGGGCGCTGCAGGGCTCACCAGGACGCGGGTGCTAC